GTCCTCAGTCTAGCCCCTTTCATTGTATTGGCCAACAGGGAAGCCGAGAGACAGTGCAGAGATACAAGTCCCACCTCACGCTGTACTGTTTGAAGGAGGATTGCCTAAAGAACGAACAGCTAAGTTTTAAGTTTAAGTCTTAGTTTATGCTTTACAACATATTTTACATCTCAGTCTTAAATAATATCGTACAGACTAAGTTTAATGGTTAGATCGTTAAGAACTTATTTATGTCGATTTCGTATTTAAAATATGATTTAAATCTTTAGCTCCATTACGAACATATCTTGTAATAGTATTACTTTCTATATATAAAAAGTGTCATTTTGACAGATGAATAACCAGTAACCAATGAGGTACGGCTACGGCTAACCAATGAGCTACGGCTTGCAAAATCTCAGATTTAATATTGTATAAAATATAACAAATTGATTAAAGTAATGCTACCTTTTTTATATTTCCAATAGCTTTATTTATACTGTAATTTTCATTCAACATATTTAATAAATATTATTTTTAACATAACTTTCCTGGACATTATTACCACTATAATTATTAAAATTTTACAATGTTATTTACCATCAGAGTCCATCGTGAATAAATATAGTCATTAGTTTTAAATAATATACAAGTGTGTTTTCTTTCTCTGTTCATGCCTGGCGCCCAATATATATTTTAGATTTATTATTGTTGGTTAGATTTTCTCCAGTGAAATATCCACGACTGCTCTACTGATGAAAAGCGCTATAAGTAAATGTACCAACCGAATGGGTGAATAACATTGAAATAGTTGAAAAACCAAATCATTCCTTAAGAATTTGTTAGTATTGAAAATACTTCTAGCCGCGTTTATATGGGACCCATCTTTGAAAAAACGACATGCTAGAGGCGACATGGAGTTCAATAACCTGGCTAATCAACTTGTCAACACGTAAGTCGTGAATAGGGCAAGGCCGTCCGAGGGCTGAAATGAGGTCTTATTAGTGTGGGCTAACTATTTTATGGATATGGATGTTTAGTCTCTGAAAGCCGATATTATTATAAAAAAGAATATGCGTCAAGGCATGGTTGTTAAGTACAGTTGGGCTATTTTAATCTAACTCTTTCCGTATGAGAAGCAGGGGGCAAATTATACGTGAAAGAGCGGAATAACATAAATAATAAATTTAGACTAATGCAACTTTTTTCTTGGCGCGTAGGATAATGCGCACAATCGATGCATTAAAGGGAATAATTAATTAAATCATTAAGTTCCAAAACATATAATAATTCGGGTCTCATCGGATCTGCTGACCTATATTTTTTTATATGATAATAATTTTTTTAATTAACAACTTAGGACAAAGAAAAAGCTTGCATGGTTTCCATCGCCAACATAAAACAAATGAATTCAAGGCGGTGCAAAATATTTATTGGAATAAGTTTTTATCGTTTAAATATTGTTGTAAATAATAATTATCATTTAATTAGTGCTGACTTATTAAATTTCACAACACGGCGAAATTTCAACAAAATCGGCTAACGGATTTTTGAGATATTAATAAAAAAGGGCTATTAGAAAACACCTTGACACCCCTGTATCTTTAAAATTATACATTTCCGGACACATGTTTATATGAACTTTTTACCTTAAAAACACTCAAAGAATCACCTCCTGAAGTTTGGCCAGATACTTAATTAACATCCTGTATTTAGAAATGGCTAGCTAGTGATTTAGTAAGCTATGCTTATTTTAATAGGAAAAAAAATCATTTCATAAAAAATAAACAAACCCATAATGCGAATACTATACACCAATTAATTAATTTTAATTGTATTTAAAGGCACTTTAATAATTGAAAAATTGACAGGAGTACTTAAAAATAACTTCATAGAGTATACCAAATATGCTAAAAATAATAATTCCAATAAAAAAACACAAATGGCACATTAAAATCTGCATTATCTGAAATCAAACTATAGCTAAACGGCTAATAAAATAATAGAGACAAGACGCCGACATCTATAACAAAATGAGCAGTTTTTAGTAATTATTCTGAGTTATTATTACATACTTGTTTTACAATTATTGTAATACAGTAGCATTCCTTCAAATAAATTTTGATTTAAGTATTGTTAATAAAGTCATATTAATGATTATAGCACGTATGATTTCTAAAATAAATAATCAAGCGTGTTTTTATCAGAATTATTAAATGATTAAGTAGAAATAGTTAATATTTAGTAACTTCGTAAGTGTTATATTTTAATATAATTATGGATTTAATAATTAAATAATTATCTTAAGTTTGAATTGTGGTAAATTGGTATGAGTTTCAATCATTTATATTTAAAATCTTAGGGAAGGCAATATAGATTTTAGGCAGGAGAACTCAAGAGAACGACTGTGTAATTAGTAATTAAGACTTTACAATTTTTTTTAATTACCATTTTCTTGTCGTTCACGTTGCACGTTGACTCTTCGTTGTGTCACACACAATCTGAATTTCGGATATGATGCAGAACTGATAAATTGGACTAAATATATTAATTGCAGGTAATCAAAAACATATTTTTGTTAACTTTGCAAACATTTAAGGCATGCAATAATTTTAAAAAATTTTCACGTGAGATTACTTTATAATTCTTGGAAGTCTTGGATGATAAAGATTTGAATTATTATGGGTCTGTTTTGTTTAAGAAGCTAACAAATAATTTTAAAAACTCAACTATCAAAATATAATGGTAGCAAATTTTTAAAATCATGCATAGCTATAATGTTCTATATTAATTGGACATACTGAATGTAAACTAGGTATAGTTGCTGCAATCGATAATATATTTTGTTGCTTTTTCATATCACACAACATTTTCGTCATAACAAAAAACCGTCAATACCACGACTCATATAATGGGCACCTATGACTTAAATCTCATAATGATGTCGCACCCCAGCTAAAAAAGAGTTACAACTCAAAAAACATCGTTGTGAGAAAATTGATGCCAAAGTATTTTATTTATTTGAAACGTTTATTTGGCCGTTACTGTTACAGAATACGAATTAACATTGTACTTTATTGTAAACGTGAACATTACAGCTTAATGATATTAGCGTTGTAGTTTTTTCAGAAATTTTAATTTCTCTGGTTTTTCGTAAAAAAGAAAAAAATGTTGATGTTGTGACACTTTTTTGGAACAAAAAATTAACACTCTTACGGATCAGACAGGTGGACCAAACAACACATAAATAAAGTAAAAAAACATTGTTTTTATTATAAAGAGTTATAAAATGCTGAATAATAACTAGAAATATGATTATTCTCTACTAAAGTCAGGAGGTCCTTTTTCTTATTCTCTTTTATAGTAAGCGCATTTTTATACGCCCGTTGTAAAGTGTTTGGGATGGTATTCTTTCTTCGACATAAATTTACTGACCTAAACTCTTCGTCTTTATAGGACGTTTTATAATAAAGGGTAGTAAGATTTTCGCGAGTTAACTTCAGAATCTTCACTTCCGTAATCTTCAAAGATTTGAAGCCGGTCATGCCTATGTCGTCACTCAATGTTTTGAGTGAATAAATATCCAAATAACTCAGTTCATTGACATGGTAGGGTTCTTTCTTCTTTTTTGCCGTACGTATGATTTGTGCATACTGACTAGGGACGTAGATAGGTCCGGATTTCAAACTTTTCTTTACAGCCTTCTCCACAGTTGAATGGACAGAATCTCCTTCATTTTGACTATGTCCACTTATTAGATATTTATGGGTTATTGAGAGTATTTTAGGGTACTTAGCTAAAGCATAAATATACATAGCAACTAGAAATCTATTTTTTTGTTGCCCGTAACAGTTGTCTGAAAAGAAAACGAATTCCAGTCCAGCTTCGTTATCAGAAATCCGCACTTATTTTTCTATAAAATTAAGCACACATGAACCTATTTCATCTGCTCCCCTATTTCCGTGCCCTTCATGCCAAAAGTAGCATTCTGTGGAGCCCGTTTTCAGTTCAGACACGGTAAAGTTGTAACAATTTAACTTGGACTTATAATAAAAAACTGAAACAGTTCCTCGAGGTGTAGGAAGTACTGCTTGCAGGTCATAGACGGACACAATATAATTGGGGCTGGCCTTTTCCTTTTCTTGGTCTTTTTCTTTTCTTGATAGATCTTTTTCTTCCAAATGTGATATATACTTGGTTTCCAACTTTTCTTTAGCTTCTCCTGTAGCATTTTCATAAGAATCGCACAACTCGCAACGATTTTTTCTAGGTATGAAAAAACTTATATTAAATTCTGTATTGAATATTTTCGAGAACATCACTAAATTTACATGAGGTAAATTTTTGTCCTGGCAAGTTTTTTTATAATCATTAAATAGGTCAGTCAAACTTTTTCCACCTTCGATGTATTCCCTCCTAGTTTGTTTTCTCAAATAATGACTTTCGATACGAGGAATAGCTCGAATGTGCTCACGTACTCCTTCTTTAATCGATAACTCAACTTTCCTATGATTTTTGTGTTTACCTCTTAAGTCTTCTTGTAGGAAACCTTTTTCAGCTTTATCAGCCACTGTCCTGGTTATTCTGCTGTTGATGTCTAACGTAGCCATGAAAAAAAATTTGCATACGCGAACTTGCTGGTCATTGTTGATATGAAAATAGAATGAATGATTATAATTTCGAGGCTTCTGCGCACTGCTATATCTATACGCTGGTTTAACAGTTTTCATGGATTTGTGAATAAAATCTCTCTCTCTATTTATATCCCCTAGAGCCCAATATGTTTGAAAAATATCTTTTCTTGCGCTTTCATCTATTTTACTGGAGCATCGCAGTCGGCATTTCTCTCCACAAGGAGGCCTCATATTCCTGGCGTTCATATGTTTTTGTGTTTTCGATCGTGAAATATATGCTTTGCCTGTATTCCGTAATTTCTTAGCTTTGTTACTTAACCATTCTTCTTCCACTGCTACTCGCTTTTTGCCTCTCTTTTTGGGGGTGGCAATTTGTGTGTCTGCGAATTAAATGTCCGCAGCTTGAGCATCTGCAAGTTGATTAACTATTACTTGACTGCCTGTAGCTGAAGCGTCCCTAACTTGAATGTCTGCTGCTTTTGTGACTGCTACTGACATTTCTGCTGCTTGATTGTATGTAGAGTTTTGAGTGTCTGCTGGTTGGGGATTTACAAGTACCATAGACCGAATATCCCCTTCGACTGTTTGGCTTTTAATATTTAAATTTGAAAGAGAATAATTGGAATTTGAACTACCACCACTGCTTGAGCTGGAACTCTTACTTGATCTAGAACACGATGAACCACAAGAACTACTAGAATCTGTTTCATAGTCCGGATCTTTTACGGAATCATCATCATTATTATAGTCGTTATAAATGGCCCAGTTATAGTTTGTAGCATTATCTGTATCAAATACAGCATTTTCCTGTTCTATAAGCTGTATTTCAGATATTTTTGAATTTTTGTCTTCTGAAACAAGTTAAACATTATTATAGCTAAAGTTACCAAATTATGGTGTTGCAATTATTTAATTTTATGTTCCTGCTCACCTGAATCTGGGACTTGATTTTGCTCTGGTGCAGAATTCCCTGGATTATTTTCCATTGCAAGAGACAGAATTCTGCGTGTACGCGAATTCGAACTTTGCATTTTAGGGCAGCAAATGCTCGATTACTAGAAAATAAATAAAAACTAGTATGGGGAATAAAGAGTTACTACCAAGAAAATATGAATTGATATTTCTAAAAAAGTGGCATAATTAAAAAAAAAACATTGGTGAATTTTAAAACCTTATGTATATGTTCTGAAAGTGTCATATTAGGAAAATAGATCAATATTATTAAAAAAATCGAACTTACTTGTTCTAAAAAAACGGCAAAACTCAAAATGTAACAGTCTTCTGCACTACACAAAATTAATGTTATTATTGAAAAGTTTGATAAAATAGTCACAACACAAAAAAGAACGGTGTTTTACTTATTATAACTATCAGATCTATCAATTATCTACAGAAAAACTGTCACAACACAAAATGAGACTCTTTTTAGGATGAAACTCGTTAGAAATATCACACGCACACTGGTGTAACGTCAAAAGTGACACTGTAACTGAATGCATGCAGCGTTAACATTGACAAAACAAAAGTGTCACTTCCGCCATCTAGCGGTAGATATTTGGAATAAAATTGAAACCCTTTTTCAGAAGAAACTATGAGTTATTTCAATAATTGTTGTGTGTTTATCTCAATAAAGGCAATTTTTGAGTTGTGACTATTTTTTAGCGGGGGTGCGATGTTTAAAAATACATAGGTATACATACTATGAGTAGTGGTTGTGACGGGTTTTTACTAGGTATGATGAAAAGAAGCTGCAAACTAAGTTATCGTGGAACTATATTTTAATTTATTTTTATCTACAGTAAGTTCAAATATTGGTTAAACCCAGAAATACCCAGGTAATAGCCCGAAATATGCAAAAAAGAGAGTGAGTTTAGGTTAGATTAGAATTAGGTTTTAGTTGGTTTTGCATTAATAAAAATATAGACCTAATCTAAACTTAACCAAAGTGACCTTTTTTGCATATTTCGGGCTCCTACGTGGGTAACCCTGCGTTTAACTAATATTCGGGCTTTTACGGTAACATAATACTCATTCTGATTGGTTTAATCTGGCTCCATAATGAAACTGTGGGTTCGAGGTGCTATTGCAAATTAATGCCATTAATTCTATGTGTATATATACACATACATACCTCACATTTCTATAGTGTCGTGATCGTGACCATTCATGAATCCGTACACGTTCATCTCCGTCATTAATATTTTGCTTACTAAATTCTTCACTTTTATAAAAAGCCATCACGATAAAAATCAAATATGAAAATACTAATACAATATCACTATACGTATCTGGAATATATTTGCGAATGGCAATTAGCGATACATTAGACTGCCGGAGTGCTGACGTCACGAATGTCAAATTGCTTTCCAAACAAGCTTTAGTTCTTTTATATTTCTATTGAGCTCTGGTATTTTCAATACGCCTATGATGGTTGCGCATGTTGCAAAATCTGTGAATTTTTAGATCCAGTTCATTTAAATCAAAGCATTTGCATGGACATAATGATGGATAATGATCCGATACCTACCTTAGATGAGTTAGCAGGTAAGAAAGTATTTACTGCTACAAGGTAAGAAAGTATTTACTGTCTTAGACTTAAAAAAGATTTTATCAAGTACCTCTAGACATAGAAAGCATGAAATATACCACATTTATAACTCCGTTTTGTAAATATTGTTTTAAACGTTTGCCATTTGGCTTAAATATTAGCCCTGAAGTATTTCAGCGGTTTAATGAAAACATATTTGGCGATTTAGATAGAAGTATATATTTTCATCATTTTAGAATATCAGCGGATAATGAAGAAAGTCACGATAAAATTCTTAATCAAGTTATAAATAGAGCTAAGTAATTTGGTATAAAATTTAATGAACGCAAAGGACAGTTTAAGGTACAGGAGGTTAAGTATATGGGACAATTTTTTTCACAGGAAGGTATGAAACCAGATCCATCCTACATTGAAGGAATAGTGAAATTGGAAAAACCTACAAATAAAATAGAACTGTTAAGAATTTTAGGAATGATAAATTACTTAACTAAGTATATACCTAACCTCTCTGATATTTTAACTCCTATACGAGAGCTTACTAAAAAAGATGTAACTTAGATTTGGACTAGTGATCATGACCTTGTTTTTAATAGGATTAAAACTGTTATATCCTCCCAAATCTTAAACTGTTTAACAATAACATTAAAATTGAAATTCAAACTGAGGCAAGTCAGTTTGGAATTGGTGGTGTATTATTACAAGAAGGGCATCCAGTAGCTTTTTGTTCTAGAAGTTTAACCAAAACAGAGACAAATTGCCCTCAAATTGACAAAGAACTTTTAGCAATTTGTTTTGCTTTAAATAAATTTCACAATTTTGTTTATGGAAGAAAAATTTTAATTAAAACAGACCATCTTCCATTAATTTCAATTTGTAGTAAATATTTTTATAAAGTAAGTTCTCGTTTGCAACGCTTAAAATTAAAATTTTTAAATTATAACATTGACATTGACTACATTCCAGGTAAGTATTTATATATTGCAGATATGTTGTCACGTTCTTTTCTAAAAACTAAAGATCAAAAAATTGGCATAAATATTTACACTCACTTGAAGTAGAATTGCCTATAATGGTGGGTTCATACAGCTAAATAAAATAAAATAAAATAAGAGATATAGAATTTATATTTGTGTACGCGTTCATATAGCCAAATAAAATAAAATAAAAAATAAGTCTAACCAATAAACTGCCACCTTTTATTTGCATATGCGCGTCTGTACTATATTGACATTGGGTATTGACTAGGGATGGCTAAAATTTGAAAATATATTCATAGTAGCCATTTGAATAGAGATTTGAATGTCGTAGAAAAAAATATTAATAAATCCTTTAATAATATATAATAGAACTATTGCGAGATATCGACAATTTCTTTCGATATATTTATTGATATATCGAAACAAAATATTAATATAAATATATCAACATAATTTTAGAAAATATATCGATATATCTAATGTATCGATATATCATTGCCATCCCTAGTATTGACACTTGACAGCTGAAAAGCATTTCGAAATCGATCGGCGCGGCGCACAGTGAACTGAACCCTTGCAAAATATAAATAAATGAAGTATAACATTTTTGGAATTTGACCTTGCGTATATTTAGCAGATAACTCCACTCATTTAAAAATCCACACTTAACATTTTTAGTATTTTCAGTTTGATTTTGGCTGGGCTGCCAATAGTAGCTAATAAAGCGAAAATTGATACCCTATTAATTTGCAGTTTACAGTGCAAGTTTCGTATATTTTTACTATTAAAAGTATTTTCAACCCGCGTAATATGGCATCGAAAAGTACAGGTTTGTATTGCTAAAGCATGGTTTAGACGGGTTTTTGTAGCCACGAGAATTTGTATAGGACATTCAGGAAGTTGAATATGTATATAATTATTGACAGTAAAAATAAAAATATATAAAGAGGGTTTAAAAAAAAGTACGCAAAACGTTTTTTGTCGAAAGTATATTTAAAAGACCATATTTAAGTACAATAAAAATCCACTTAGTTTACCTGCTACTATCTGCTACTTCAGGAGATATTTTTTTTTCAGGGGTATCACATATCACGAATATGGAACTCGCTCAGTTATGGATAGATAACAAGAAAGATCGTTGTAATGATATAATTTTGAATAATTACGTAGTAAGTTAAACTTAACAAATTTGGTATTTGCGAGGATGTTTTGTTTAAATGTGAAAAAAAAGTGGCTCGTTTTCTCAATTTCTGTAAATACTATTGTTAGTTGTTCAGTCATATTTGAAATTGCCGCCAAGAGGAAGTGAAGAAGAAAGAACATACCCTCACTAGGCGATATTTGAATAGCGCGCGCTGGTCAGTTGTAAAATGTCAATCTGTAAATTGTATTGATTGAAGAAAAAGATGTAAAGTGTACTTCTTGTAAAATTTGTTAATAAAACGACGTAATACACAAGTGGGGCTACTTCATTTATTATAAATCGAATCCCCACAACAACTATGATGTTCAGGTTTTCGTAACTATCCAGAAGATTACAATGAGGGAAAGTCTATCCACATTATATCAAATATTATCAAAAATAAATTTCTGGAAACTTAAGTTCAACATTTTTTTAAAAATCTGGAAAATCTCCTATCCAGAATTGCGAGATTTCAGTTTTGACATTAAATTCTTAATCCTCGACCTCAAAAACCCCTGGGTTCCAAATTTCAGCCCAATCGCGAAATTTGCAGGACCGCTATGATTTTTCTCCTATTATCCCATATAATCGAAGCACTGGGCGTCGCGTTTTCTGCATGTTTTCACGTTTCTGTTTTCTGTTTCATTGTGGCAAATTGTGGTATACTATAATCCTTTTGCTTTTACGCTGTGTTCTCGTTTATAATTTATAATAGATGGACGGATTGTTAATTGAACAAGTTTCGGCTTTTTAATTTTTATATGACAAAAAAAAACAAATTAAAGAATAAATTAACCAGGGAAAACGCTTGGAAATCATAGGCGAAATTCTAAATCAATCTCGTAAGTATAAATACAATATTTAGGATATCTAGTAATTTCATGATTTTTTCTCTCAGCATCTCAATGTGAACAGCGATGGGTCACTTTAAGGGCTAAATATACAAGCATGAAGAGGTAGCTAAAGCGGGTTCAGGGGGGGACAAAAGACACGTGGCCATTATACGACATAATGGGCTTTTTAAATCCACATCTTACCACAAGAAGGTAATCAATATTTTCACCATTGTTGCTTTTATTTAAAGTTACCTATGTATTGTTAAAGAACCAGCTCCAACTATGGGAGTATATCGTCCCAGGCATCCACAAGTTCGGCCTGGGATAGTCTTCAAACTATTGTTGCTGAGTCGGATATTGTCGAGCTGGTAGAAGATGATGATATGATCGGCCAGTCGAGTTCCATTGGATCTACGATAGAATAGATTACCCCAACAATGGGAGAGATACCTAGGAAGACTATTCCTAGGTCTCTCTCAAGAAAAAGAAATGCTCAAGATATGCTTTGCGAGAAAATAAGCACATCCTTCAAGATGCTCAATAAAAAAATTACAATGGAGCATCAGTACCTACAGAGGACAGCGAATCTCACTTTACAAAAAGTTTGGCGGAAGACATCAAAGTTCTAACACCACAGGAGACAGTTATTTTTAAAAATAAAATATACGCAAAATTGACACAGATATTGGAAAAAAGAAACAAATAAAATTTTAATAATTATAGATTGTTTTAATCGCCTAATGTTTCTGATAAAAAGTAATAATTTGCAAATATTGTTTATTTTCTATTTTCTTAGACAAAATATCGATACAGGGTACAACATATTAACGGAATTATATGGATATAATAAATTAAACAAAAGATCTAAATACATATACCTACTGTATGATCGAGAAAAAAAAGGCGTCCAGTTGGCATAGAAATCTATAAACATCTATAACATTTCCATAACCATCGCTGACGCCGTTTTTTTCGATCATATTGTATTACACAGTATATCCCCAGATTGTATTTACAAGAGGAAAAACTTTTTGATTATAAACACCTTTTGAGGAGAATGCATTCTTCATAGAAGTTTTTGCTGTCGCCAAAAATATATTGCCCGCCGACCAGAATGATCAACAATCCAATCAGGGATCGAACAAAGATTCAATTTATTCTATCAACAATCTATCAAGTAAAGTTGCCGTTAAGCTTCCAGATATTCCTTTACCTACTTTTCAAGGTTCCTACCGAGTGGTAAGGCTCCCTAAATATAAAATAAAATTTGGCAACAGTGTTGTTGTAGCATGTAGACGCTTATTGTATTTTCCACAAATAAAGTGAAAATAAATGTATACAGTCCACAAAATAGTGATTTAATTAAGTCCAAAACATTGGTCCTTCGAGCCGGATAGTGAATCCGTTAAACTTTGTCCATTTTGAAGAATTACATAAGAAAAATCAAGGTAAATCTAACCAGTCAATAAAGCTAGGTTAGGAAGAGAGAAGCCGTAGACAAAGAACGAGAGAAATAGGCTAACGAGCTGAAGCAAGATACACATCGGAGCGATGCCAAGCAAGAAGCAGCGTCATCGACTGGCGTTTTTTGTGTTCCACCAACGGTCTCTCAGCGCTGCGTCACAATAAAAAGTTCTGAGTAAGTTCGTTCCTTATTTTTGTTAATATATCGTAAAACTTGTGTCAACATGTCTGAAATTGCGTTACTAAAATCTAAAATAAGTTCCTTAAAAAGCAAACTAACGCGTCTTCAAAATTATTTTAATTCTATTAATAAAAACGAATTAGACGATATTATAATTAATCAACTTGAGAGCCGCTTAGAAAAGATTCAACCTATTTGGGAACAATTTGACGAAATCCAGTTTGAAATAGAGCAAATGTTGTGTACTAGCGAAAATCCTGAATCTCAGTCTGACAAAGATGAGAGAGACGCGTTTGAAAATAGTTATTTCAAATTGACTGGAGATATAAAGATTCTAATTAAAAATTACAACCAAACAATAGAACGCAATGATGGTTCTGTGGTCAGTTTTCGACACAATTCGGTCGTATCTAATTCTGTCCAATCCTTAGTGAAATTGCAATCCATTAAACTCCCTACTTTTGATGGACAATATGGTAATTGGCTAGAGTTTAAAGATTCTTTTGTTGCCTTAGTTGATAGTAATCCTACATTAAATTCGATTCAAAAATTCTATTATCTCAGGTCATCACTAAGCGCAGAAGTTCTTGAAATAATAAAATCGATAGAGGTCTCATCTAGCAATTACACGGTAGCCTGGCAATTTCTTGCAGATAGGTTCGCAAACAAAAAACTTATTATTTATAATCATATTCGAGCGATATTCGAACATCCTAGTTTACTTAAAGAAAGTTATACCGATCTTCGAAACTTATATGATTCTGTCACCAAGCATTTACGTGCGTTGAAGGCTTTAGGCGAAACAACGCATACTTGGGACAGATTAGTTATTTATATTATGTGTAGTAAATTTGCCAGCACTACACAACGAGACTGGGAAATTAATAAATACGAAAGTGATTTACCGACAATGAAGGATTTGAGTAATTACTTGCAATTGAAATGCGAGATGCTGGAAAACTTGGAGATGTCAAATAAAGATGCCAATAAAAATAATAAACAAAATAAAAAATACTTTAGAGACACTAGTAATAATTATCACTCAACAAATAAACAAGACAATAATAAATTTAAGTGTTATTATTGTCAGCAATCTCATGGTATTTTCAATTGCAGTGATTTCTTAAAATTATCCGTAAATGAGCGTATCGCAGCGGTAAAGAGGATTAAACTATGTTTAAATTGTTTGCACGATTTAAATTGTCTGCGCGAATTAAGAACCATCACGCACCCTTCTTGGAAATGTAACAAATCAAAATGTTTTAAATGTAAAAGGTCGCACAATACTTTACTTCATTCAGATTCTTACCACAAAATGGATCAAAATTCCGAAGCGACCGCTGGCGCAAATAGTTTGCCACCTACAGAGAGAGAGAACGATACGACGCCGAACACGGCTGACAGGCATATATCGTTGAATTCCTATGTGTCGGAGGCTGAAGGCGCTGTTGCCGTACTTAACCCATTTTCGAGTTGTGCCCAGATTTCTGCGGGATATTCTCAAGTTTTGCTTTCTACTGCAATGATTCAGTTGACGAATGGGAAAAAGAGTATTATGGCACGGGCTTTGTTAGACAGTGGTTCGCAAAGTAATTTTATATCGGAGAATATTTGTAAAAAATTAAATTTACAAAGGACTGCAATAAATCATGCAGTAAAAGGTGTGGGACAGACATTCACAAATATTAATGATCAAGTTAATGTAACGATTAAGTCTTGCATAAGTAATTTTAAGACAGATGCAACGTGTTTAATTTTAGAATATATAACTGATAAATTACCAATTATGTCATTCAATAAAGATGTTCTGAAAATTCCAGCAAATATATCCCTAGCTGATCCCAAGTTTAATACGTCAAATATTATAGAGGTTTTACTTGGATCAAGTATATTTTGGTCTATAATGGGATCTAACCAAGTCCAACTTGGACCCAATATGCCAATATTACAGGAAACTAAATTTGGTTATATAATAGCAGGCAATTTATGTATGAATCCGACTTATTCTCTTAAGGTATCGGTAAATTGTTTAAATATTTTAGATTCCGATACGTCTATAGATAATAAAATAATAAAATTTTGGGAACTGGAAGATATTTCTAGTAAAGAACCTAATATGTCGGATTCGGAGAAATATTGCGAGCGTTACTTCAAAGAAACTGTTCAAAGAGACGCAAGTGGTAGATTTATAGTAAAGATACCGTTTAAAAATAATATAGAGCAATTAGGCGATTCACGTGATATGGCGTTAAAGCGGTTTTATCACCTTGAAAGAAAATTTAAGAACAATCCTGAATTAAAATCAGATTATGTAAAATTTATGTCTGAATATGAATCTTTAGGCCACATGTGTGATGATGTGGTCGACGACGGGTACTATCTTCCACATCACGCCGTGATAAAAAATTGTAGCATCACTACGAAATGTAGGGTAGTGTTTGACGCGTCGGCAAAGTCGTCGAGCGGGTTTTCCCTTAATAATGTTCAGTATGTCGGTCCGACAAATCAACAGGATGTGTTTTCAATATTAACTAGGTTTAGAATTCATGAATTTGTTTTGACAGGTGACATATCAAAAATGTATCGTCAGGTACTTATTGATTCTAATGAAACTAAATTCCAAAAAATATTTTGGCGTTCGCAATCTGATGAAAAAATAAATGTTTATAAATTAAACACTGTAACGTACGGTACGGCTTCTGCGCCATATTTAGGTGTAAGGTGTTTGTTTCAGATTGCAGATGAAAATGAAAATAAGTTTCCAATCGTCAGTAATATAATAAAAAGAGATTTTTACATGGACGATGTTTTAACTGGTTCTGATTCTATAGAAGAACTATTGCAAATTCAAAAAGATCTTGTAAATTTATTATCTAGTTATGGTTTCGAACTTCGCTAATTTCTATGCAACAGTCAAGATTTATTGAACAAATTTGATATTAATAAAAATTTAGATGTCGGAATACTTAATATAGGAACTAATGAAGATTATAAAACTTTAGGAATTTACTGGGACGCTAATAATGATCAAATAAGATATAAATTTAATTTAGATGAACGTCTTTCTAATGAAAGGGTAACCAAACGTACAATTTTATCTTTAATATGTCAAATTTTTGACCCACTTGGTTTACTTGGGCCTTTAATAATAACTGCTAAGCTAATAATTCAAGAGCTTTGGAAATTAAAAATAGATTGGGATGCAGAAGTTGCGTCACATTTGTTAAATATTTGGAACACATTTTTTATCGGTCTTTCTGGTATCAGTAATTTAAAAATTCCAAGATATGCTGCATTTTCTCAATATATACGCATCGAAATGCATGGTTTTTGTGACTCTTCAATCAAAGCTTATGGAGCGTGTTTATACTTAAGGTGTTTAACATCATCAGGAGAATATTGTTCAAATTTGTTAGCAGCAAAATCGCGTGTTGCACCTTTAAAGCAAGTTAGCTTACCACGTCTCGAATTATGCGGTGCAGTATTACTAGCCAACTTAGCTAAAAAGACAATAGATTCGTTAGCAATTAATTTTGATCAAACTTATTACTGGACAGATTCTACAATAACATTATGTTGGATAAGAAACGAATCGACTAGATGGAAAACCTTTGTTGCGAATAGAGTGAGCGAAATTAGATCAATCAGCGACTATCAAAACTGGCACCACGTAAAATCTGAAGAAAACCCGGCTGATTTAATCTCTCGGGGTACGACTGTTGATAATTTAAGTAAATCAAAGTTATGGTCCAGATTGGTTTTTTATTACTCAGTCAAAATGGAATTTAAGTGAGCCTAATCTTGACTTCACTGATCCATTGGAAGAAAGGGTTATTTCTTATACCGCGGTAAATTACAGTAATGAAATTAATGACATTTTAAAGAAGTTTTCTTCGTTTAGAAAAACGTTAGGTGTTTTAGCTTATGTGCTAAGGTTTATGTCAAATATAAGTCTTAAATCTGACAAAAGAATTTATAGTGCTTTACAGCCCGAAGAAATTGATAGAGCTCTGAGCTTGATTATTAAAAACGTTCAAAAGGAGAGTTTTTCACAAGAATATTTATATTTAAACAATAATAAAGACTTACCTAAATCTAGTAAACTATTGTCATTAAATCCATTTTTGAAAAACGATATTTTGCAAGTAGGGGGTAGAATAAAAAACTCAAACTTGTCTTTTGAAAATAAACATCCTATAATATTACCCAGTAGTCATGTATTAACAAATCAAATTTTAAGACATGAACACGAACGGTTACTTCATTGCGGTGTCCAAAATTTACTATGCTCAATTAGGGAAAGGTACTGGCCTATATCTGGACGAAATGCCTGCAAGAATATTGTTCGAACCTGCATAAAATGTTTTCGTGTTGCACCAAAAGAGTTTGGTTATATAATGGGTGATCTTCCTGAAGTCCGTGTAAATCCTCATACAGTATTTTCGTATGTAGGGACAGATTTTGGAGGACCATTTTTCTTAAAGGATAGGCAAACTCGCGGAGCTAAAATTATAAAATCGTATATGTGCTTATTTGTGTGTATGAGTACAAAGGCGATACATATAGAATTAGTGTCGGGATTGACCACACAAGCATTTTTGGCTGCTTTAAACAGATTTGTGAGTAGACGTGGTAAACCGTCGAATATTTACTCTGACAATGGCTCAAATTATAGGGGTGCAAATAGCGAACTTTTAAAAATTTATGATTTTCTGAAAAATAACTCCGATTATATTTCCAGTCAATTAGCGTATGATTATATAAAATGGCATTTCATACCAGCGTCTTCTCCCAGCTTCGGCGGCATATGGGAGGCCGGAATAAAAAGTGCAAAAAGTCACATAAAGCGGGTAATAGTTGAACCTAGATTAACGTTCGAGGAATTTGCAACGGTGTTGACACAAATTGAATCTATTTTAAATTCGCGGCCGCTTTGTCCACTTACTCAGGACCCAGACGACATCGCAGCGTTGACACCAGGGCATTTTCTAATTGGGAGGCCCTTGACTACCCTTCCTCAAATCAATCTCACTGATGTTCCAATAAACCGCTTAACCAAGTGGCAGCACTTGCAGATGATGGGTCAGCATTATTGGAATAGATGGCAACGAGAATACTTGACTGAGCTACAGAACCGTGTAAAGTGGAAGCAGAATTCAAGGCATTTATTAAAGGTTGGAACATTAGTTCTTGTTAAAAATGACAATGCACCTTCAATGAACTGGCAGCTTGGTCGTGTAACAGAACTGCATCCAGGAAAGGACGGTGTTACCCGTGTAGTGAGTTTGAAGGTGAATGATGGTGTCCTAACTAGGGCAGTAAATCGCGTGTGCGCTTTACCAATTGATTAACAATAAAATTTCTTTAACCACTTAGAACAGGAAACACTAATTTTGTAATTTAGAGTTTATTTCAAAATGTGTATTTTTCTTTTAGTTAGTTTTGGTTAATTTTCTATGTATATAATATTGGTTAATATTTCTATATACGAAATATTTTTATTGTCGTAACGAAGATAATTAGCATTATTTTCTATATTATAGGTACATATTTCTAATGTTATACTTAAAGGTTTTCTAATGTTATATTTTTTTTTGGTTTTTAGTTAAAATTTAGTTTAAAATTTTATACATTTCATATAAATTTATTATATTTCGAATATATAGTTATAAATTATATAACGAATTAATTTAAATTTTTAAGTAACGTCATATATATATTTTAAAAAATGTTAAAACAAATGTATTATTAAGTATTTGTTCATTTATGTTTTCTTTAACAAAAGGAATCTTATTTTTTAATGCTTAGTTTTAGTATTTTTAAAGTACTAGGTACTTTCAAGGCGGGCGGCATGTTAAGGCTCCCTAAATATAAAATAAAATTTGGCAACAGTGTGAGTGTGACATGTTGTTGTAGCATGTAGACGCTTATTGTATTTTCCACAAATAAAGTGAAAATAAATGTATACAGTCCACAAAATAGTGATTTAATTAAGTCCAAAACACCGAGCGTTGGCTTGAATTTTGTGAAATTTTCGAGTCTTTAATTCACAAAAATGATGATTTAACAAGTATCCAAAAATGTCACTATTTGAGAGCGTCGCTAGAGGGCAGGGCATCCGAAGTAATTAAGACAGTAGAATTTTCGGAAAATGGCTCTCGAGTAGCCTGGAAAGCACTTTGTGATCGCTTTGACAATAAAAAATTGCTAATTCATAACCATGTCATGTCAATTTCCCCTTTAGAGGTTATCCAAAGGGAATCATCAGTTAAAATTCGAGCTTTGATAGACGGGTTAAATAAGCACTTGCGGTCTTTACAGCAATTAAACCATGATACGTCCAACGGGGACACACTGCTTATATATTTATTAAATTCTAAGTTAGATTATAAGACGCGCAACGTTTGGGAAAGACAATGAACTGATATCGATGTGCCTAATTTAAGTCGATATTAGTAAACTTTTAAAACATCGTGCTGACTTTCTTGAAACAATAGAGTATAAGAACAGTGATAAGCAGGGTGAACCAAACAAGCAGAACAAATCAAGGTTTCAAGATAAACAAAATACTAGAGCACTTCTAGCCTTAGGTTTTGCCTGCTATTATTGCAACCAAGATCTTGCCATATATTCTTGCTATCAATTTTTAAGTTTACAGCTAGATAAAAAGATCGAATTTATTAAAAAGAAAAAATTAGGTCTTAACTGTGAAAAAAAATCAAAGGTCTTCGTGATTCCTTCAGAAAAGAATATAAAAAGGTCCTACCTTCAGAAAGGTCTGGTGCAGGTAATGATGACCTTTATAAACCAAATTTGTGGTACTACAAATTACTCATATTTTTGAAGGACCAAGAGGTTCCAAGAACCTGTGTGGATACTGATGCACAAGTTGAGGTAAGTTATTCTGTTTTATTATAATTTTAATCTGACAATAGTACAAATTAAATCATGTCTTCTTGCCATTGCACTTGCAATTCACAAAAGGAAATGTGACGAAGTATGTCTCGTATTTTTTTCTTGATGCTTCCGCCAAATCTGATGCATTTCTGGAATTTCCATTTTGAAGGCAATACATAGAAATAGGATCTTGCCGCCAATCTCCTGCAATAAATTTTCTGCTTTGAATGTCCTCTGTATCCAAACTTCCCATAAGTGTATAACAAACCCTATTTCTTCTTCGTAAAAAATTATGCAAAATACATGATGCCATTATTAAATAGTCAATTTTGTCCACGCTCATATTTATTTCTGTATGAAATATTCTAAATCTTGAAGCAAGTATCTATCAAAGCATTCTCAACCACTCGCCTGGCACGAGAAAGCCTGCAGTTGAGAATCTGTTCATAGCACTCGAAAAAATATGCATTGTAAAATGCACAATAAATGACGTTAAAATAATTAACTCGTTCTATGGAATTCGATTTACCTAATTATTTGTTTCATAAAAGATTGCTGATAATATAATATTGTTTTATATACATAATAAAAATTAAAGCATTCAAAATAAAGTGTATACTATTTTATCGGACATCTAATATTTAGTCCTTTTAAAGTAATTATTACCCTATATATGTTTTAAAAGAACCACGTTCAAAATAAATTGGCATTGCCTTATTATTTTTGAAAAGTGTTGCTTGTCTATTTATTCCAATAAGACGTCCTTATAATAAATTTATTTTAAGCACGAGGGTATTTTATTTCTATAAGAATTGCTAACAGTTTAAATACATTTCCGGTAGGCTTTTGATTTCTGGTAGGGAATTGACGGGATAAGCCCGATTAGCCACACATTGTTTTATGATTTTTGTTGCGTTCCATTATTTTGAATAGTACAATGATATTTATTGTATATGACATTTGTTAATGACAAAAAGTAGAATTGTATCGTTTACAAGTAAT